GGGGGGGGTGGTTATCTTTTTGTTACCTTTCTGTATTAACAAAGATGAAGCTTTTTTTGAATCCACCGTATTGAAGTTCCCTTGATCTTGCCACCCACCTGGAACTGCATGTTGCTCATTGGTCTCACAGGTGGTATTGCGTGCGGGAAGTCCACGATGGTGACGATGCTGGAGCAGCAGCATCAGATCATAGTAATTGACGCGGATCGTGTGGTGCGAGGGCTGCAGCGCCCTTTCATGCCGTGTACACGCAAGATCGCGAGACGGTGGCCGGAGTGTGTAGACCTTCAAACAGGTGAGCTTGACCGGGCCGCTTTGGCTGGCATCATCTTTCGTGATCCACAGGCTCGCCGCGAGCTGGCACGCATCATGTATTTTCCTATTTTTGCTTCCACCATAACGTCACTGCTACTGTTTTGGTGGCAGAGCGTGAGACGACGGCTGAGGGGTGAGGGGCCGCTCCTCGTGGTACTTGATGTACCACTTCTATACGAGTCCAAAATATACACGTTGTTCATTGACGCTGCGGTTGTTGTGGGAAGCACAGAGGAGCTACAAATTGCCCGCCTTATGAAGCGTAACGGGCTTACGAGGGAGGAGGTGTTGCAGCGCATACGAGCTCAGATGCCGGTAGAAGAAAAGTGCAGGCGTGCTGATTACGTTATCCGAAACAACGGCACAGTGACGGAGTTGGCGTGTTCCGTCAACGACAGTGTAATTTGGATGAGGCAACAGTCTGGTTGCAGGATGGATCTCATCGTGTTTGGTATTGTCGGGGGCGGTATTGCGTGTCTCGCGGCTGCTGGGCATCTGCTTTGTCGTTTGCTTTGCTGATTATTGGAAGAGCGGAGAGGAACACCTCCAATAACGCCCATTAAAAACATCAAGAGGGTACATGCAGCGTGAAGAGTGACTTTTTGCATGTTTTTTTTTGTCCTTAGCTGTTTGTTTTCACTCTTGTTGCTTCACTGACCTTCTATGTTTTTATTCCATGCTTTTAAAACGTTTCTTTCTCCGCCCTCCCCGTCTTTGCGGGTTATTATCGTCATTAGTTTGAAGAAAAAGGAGTTTGCTTGTCACTCCACTTTCCTCAAATCACTTCGACGCGCACTACCTCAACGACGCGAGCAGCAAGAATGACTGAGTGGCCCGTCAGCCGTGTGCGTCGGGAGTTTCTGAAATTTTTCGAGCAGCGTGGCCACACCTTTGTCCGTTCCAGCCCTGTGGTTCCTCAGAATGATCCCACCCTGCTCTTCATCAACGCCGGCATGAACCAATTCAAAGATATCTTTCTTGGCACGGCAGATCCCAACACTGAATTTGGACGCCTTACCCGTGTAGTAAACTCACAGCTTTGCATTCGGGCTGGTGGCAAACACAATGATCTGGACGATGTTGGCCGTGACACTTACCATCACACATTTTTTGAGATGTTGGGTTCGTGGTCGTTTGGTGACTACTTTAAACGCGAAGCCATTCGATGGGCGTGGGAACTGTTGACGGAGGTGTACAAGCTTCCGAAGGACCGTCTGTATGTGACATACTTTGAAGGGGACCCTGCAAACGGCATACCAGCCGATGAAGAGGCAAAACAGTTTTGGTTGGAGCTTGTGCTCCCTGAGCAGGTTATTCCTGGTAGTGCCAAGGATAACTTTTGGGAAATGGGGGAAACAGGGCCTTGCGGACCCTGCTCGGAAGTGCACTTTGATCGCGTAGGCGGTCGCAATGCGGCAGCGTTGGTGAATAAAAACGATCCGATGGTGATTGAAATTTGGAACCTTGTTTTCATGCAATTTGAACGCGATGAAGACGCGACGCTGACGCCCTTGCCGAAGATGCATGTGGATACTGGCATGGGACTTGAGCGACTGACGTCCATTATGCAAGGCGTGCACTCGAACTACGATACGGATGCCTGGATGCCCCTCTTTGAGGCCATTCAGGCGGTGACGGGGTATGAAAAGTCATATGCCGAGATACGTGAGCAAACAGACTCAGATGCAACTGTGGCGTACCGTGTGATAGCGGATCACATCCGTTGTCTCAGTGTTTCTCTGGCGGATGGCGCCCTGCCAGACTCTGTTGGTCGTGGCTTTGTGTTGCGCCGCATCATTCGCCGTGCCGTCCGCTACGGCACGCAGTTCCTTGGGGCAAAGGTTGGTTTTTTTAGTCAACTTGTGGATGCTGTTGTGACATCATTGGGCCCCTTTTTTACGCATCTACAAGACCCGCGCACGGTGCAGCGCATCAAAATCGTACTTGCCGACGAAGAGGTGTCCTTCGCCAAGACGTGGGAGATGGGACTTAAGCACTTCAATAAAGCCGTGGCGGACGCTGTGGACAACTGCATCAGCGGTGAAAACGCTTTTATTCTGCACGATCGTTATGGATTCCCTGTTGATTTGACCTGCTTGCTGGCTGAGAAGGCCATGCTAGCTGTGGATATGGACGGCTTTCACGCGGTCATGAAGGCAAATCAGCTTAGTGCAGGTCGTCTTTCTGCCACAAAGACGTTTATTGATGCGTATCAACTGGATGAGCTCAGGCAGAAAGGGATTGCCTTTACGGAGGATGCCGTTAAATACACTTGGAAGAATCACAATGCAGAGGTAAAGGCTATTTTCAACAAAAAAATGGGGAAGTTTGTGGACGTGCTAATGCCTGGCGATGAGGGTGAGGAGGACATTGGACTCATTCTAGACGTCACAAACTTTTACGCTGAGTCTGGTGGCCAAATATATGACACTGGCCGCATTGTTGCTGCTACGGATGCTGTGTTTGAGGTAAAAAAGGTATACCACCTTGGTGGCTATGTGGTACATGTTGGATGTATGATGAAATCAAGCTCTACTCCTGTGCCTATTCCTGTAACGGCCTCTGTGGATCTACAGGTGGACTATAAACGGCGGATAGATGTCGCCGCGAATCACTCCACGACACACGTCCTAAACTGGTGTCTACGGCGCGTGCTGGAGGAGGACGCTCCTGATAATTATATGGAGGTTCAACAGAAGGGATCCCTTGTCACCGACGAAATGCTACGCTTCGACTTTAGCTACAATGGAAAAGTCAGCCAAGAAGATCTTGTCAAGATCGAGAATACTCTTAATGAGAAAATCCAAGAGGGGTTGGTGGTGTACCGCAAGGAAGTTGCACTTGAGAGCGCTAAACGCATTGAGGGACTACGACAAATGTTTGGCGAGAAGTACCCCGATCCTGTCAGCGTCATTTCTGTTGGCGTCTCAGTCGATGACCTCCTTGCAAGGCCCGAGTGTAAAGAGTGGCGTGCATACGCCGTAGAATTTTGTGGTGGTACCCACCTATCGAATCTAAACGAGGCAGAGGTCGCTGTTATTCTCTCAGAGGAAGCACTTATGAAAGGGGTTCGACGGATTGTTGTGGCGACGCGTGACGCCGCACGCAAGGCCCGTGCGCAGGGGGAGCTGCTGGAGAAGGAATACCGCGATATCATCGCCGGTGGGATGACGGATTCAACCGCCAAGAGCCTCTCAGTGCTGAACAAGAAGGTGGGTGACAGTCAGATTCCACTCACGATGAAAAATGCCCTGCGAGAGGAGATCGACGGAAGTATAAAGAATGCCTTTGCCAATGCGAAGGCAATGGCGGCACAGTTGAAGGAGAAAGCTGCCGCAGCAGGACGAGCGGCGGCAGATGCATATGACGCGGTGAGAAATCCATTTTTTGTGAAACGGCTGAGTGGCATTGGTGCTGAGCGCGAAGCACTGCAGGCCTACGCTGATGGGTTCACAGGCGCTGTGCAAGGCAGCGTTGGCATCTTTCTCTTCGGTGCTGATGCGAACAAGGCACTCGCGCTGGTAACACTTCCACCGGAGTTCACGGCGAAGAAACTGAGCGCCGTCGATTGGGCGAAGGCAGCCGTCGGGAAAGGCGGAGGCAAACCGCACGCCGCACAATCAGGTCTTCCCTCCTCTGGTGTTGATGCGGCGATGGAGAGGGCGATTGCAGAGGCGGCGAAGATGAAGGCTGTACTGTGAGTTACTTGTGATCGCCTTCGGGTGTAACAGAAAAAAAGAAAAAAAATACGAAAAAAGAAAAAAAACTAAATAGACAAAGAAAACG